TGGAAAACATTTGTGTATAGCTATAAAAAAATTATATACACCTATTTATAGGTGATCACATTCCCTTTGTTCTCAGCTGCATACGAGCTGGGGAAGAAGAAGCAGCAGCAGCAGCAGCACACTGATCTTCTTGGTGAATGACTGTGCAGGAGGTAGTGTGTCAGTACAAGTCTGATCATTGGAGGAATGCAGGCTGAGTTCCCAGCACAGCTAGAGAACTAACCACGGTGTGCTCTCATGCCTACTGATGTCAGTTTTTAATAGAAAAGTAGAGGGGCTGGCAGGGATTTAATACAAAGGAAGCAATACAAAGAGAACACAATACTTTTCATACAGGTACATGGTACAGCAGGCACATATCAGGAATATGAAACGTTGGGTATACATTTTCTTTAATGTGGTCAGTTTGTCAAAGAGTATGACATAGAATATAATGGGGTTGATTTACTAAAGGCAAATAGACTGTGCACTTTGCAAATGCAGCTGCACTTGAAGAGTGCAATTGCTCCAGAGCTTAGTAATTGAAGTAAAGCTTCACTTTACAAGGAATACTCAATTACATGCAAGAAAAATTAAAATAAACATTTTTGCTTGCACATGATTGGATGATGGAAGTCATCAGAGCTTCCATTCATTCACTAAGTTCTGGAGCTACTGCAATTGCAGAGTGTAACTGTACTTGCAAAATGTATAGTCCATATGCCTTTAGTAAATTTGACCCACTGTTTTTTACCTCAGCGAAAACTATAGATGGGTGTTCCAGCTATCCATATACAAATAGTCAACATAAGGGATTTAGAGTTTAGAAGGATTCTCTTCCCAGTCACGTTGAACAGATTTGTGAGAAAACTTTTTTTTTTTTTAACAAATAGTCTATTGTATGTTGGTTTGGCGATTGCTGTTAGAGTTTAGATAAATTAGAATGAAGTATGTTAAGAATAATTACCAGGTCAGCTGTTAGATGTTGTTTCACCATGTTTAACTGAAACCGTTTATAACAAGGACCTGTGTCTAAGTCTGGTGGCCAGAAAATTATCTGGTTTATTATTTTTCAGACATATGTGCTGTATCTGCGGAGTTGGTTTTCTACTTGGTATGCAACACACAAGTTTAATTCAGTGTACATTTGTTATGTAGGGTTTTGTTGGCAAGAAAATGGTCATCTTTAAACATTAGTGAGTCTCTCTTTTGCTGGGAGGCCAAAATTTATTACGACACCCTGTTTGGTAGGGTTGTGGGCTTCCAATGTATTGGCTGCAGTGTCAACCTAGAGCAGATTGATATAAAAATATTCTGGTATTGCTGTCTGTTCTTTTTTGCACTATGTCTTGGTTGCTAAGCAGGAAGTCCTGCAGAGTCCAAGTCACTTCTTTATTTTTGGTGGTCTCCGGTCTCAGTTGCAGGCTTACTGCACAATTCTCTGACCATTGAGTTGGGACTATTGTGGTTGCATTGACCTAGGGTAGAGTAGTATAGTATGCAAAAATGGGAGGGAAAATAAAAAAAATGAAGGGGGCAATTGAGGAAAGTAGCTAGATAGGGAATATGCAGTAAATACTGCCTTGTAAATACCCTTCAGAATTTAAGAATTCCGAATGGGTCTTGTGGATGGTAGCACATACAACCAACCCAAGACAGGAAGTAAGCCTGTTGTAACAACCAGTAATGTAGACCAAAATTGCAGAGTGCATCAAGAGAAACACATTATCACATTGTGAAGTAAGTCAGACCAATAAAGGAACATCAGGGGATCTCGAAGAGGGCACAAAAGGACCAACATTAGATGTAGAAGCAGAATAGTATTCTGTTGGGTGAGAGAGTAGTTCTCCAGATAAGATTAAATATCTTAGGGCATAATAGTTTGGCTTCCAATAATGATCACAATACAAGAGAATTATTAGTGGTAGTAGTTAGTGTTTAAATAAAAAAAATGATATATATATATATATATATATATAACATTTTTTACACATGCTGTTAGATAATGCATGGAGGGGACCCCCAGAGCAGTATTCATAGCTCAAAAAGAACCAATTATCCTGCCTAGAAGTATGATTCATACTTTTATTGTTTAACTTTTAAATATGTATTGTAAGAATAAAACTATTGGATAGTCCATAGTTAATGTATGGTTACTTGTAATTATATTCTGTTTAGGAAAATGGAAGATAACAGTCTTGCCCCTATGCTACATTGGGTGCCCCATAATGAATCTACATTATTGCCACATTCATCAACATTGCAGGAGCCCTTTGATTTATACATTGATGCTTTGCACTATATACCTGACTGTGCAACAATTATCAAGGTAAGTACATGTAAAAGGAGACTTCAACGTTTTAGTGGTATCTTTAAACCCACTCTTCAAGGGACACAATGGATGGCCTCAAATCTAGTGGTGTGACTGTAAACCCTCGAGTTTAGGAGAGGAGTCTTTGACAATCTTACATGCTCTATGAAGCCTAGGTGTCACTTCATGTAAAGGAATTTCAGCTGTAATTGAATTCATAACCAAGGCTGTGGTTTGATTTCCAGAATTAAAAAAAGAGAATCCAATGAACAGTTCTAAAAGGATGATGAGGTAATAAATCCCGTACTTCTGTGTTTGAAAATGTATCTGGAATGACCTGAACAAATGTAACAATTTCCCTAACATGTTTTACCATTTGCTTTTGGCCATTTAAACTGGTGTGGCACTTTTAATACTGTTTTATCATGTTCATATTTGTTTTGGACTTTTATACTGTATACTTTAATCCCACTGTTCCAGTCTAGGTAACAGACCACATACTTGTTTATGCAGCACATCCAGGGGGGTGGAGATGTCTATAGTGACTTCTGCTAATATATTTTAGACTTCCCTTTAGGTAACAAGGTTTGATGTAAAGTATCACTGTTAAGAATGTGCACAGGCACATTTCTGTGAGCAGCTCTGTCCATGGCCAGTGTGTATGAGCAGGTGTGCACATGTGCCCGAGCATGCACGAGCACCAGGCAGGCTATTTACACTGCACCAGTTACATGGGCTATTGCCATTTCCTGGGCATCTGCTACCTGTTCCTGTACTGAATCTCTGCTGCCAACCCGATCTGTTACTGCCTGAACACTGTCTGCCCTGACCCTTGGCTTGTTGTTGGATTCCACCTTCTGCTCATCCGTCTTGTTGTTACTGATCCCAGCCTAACTTCTGACTACTCTTCTGTTTGCTGCTTGAACCTGACCTGCTCGCTAGTTACCGACCTAGACTGCCTTACCCTGCTTACCTGCCTGACCCTCTTCCTGTACCTTAGTCTGTTGATCTGGGTCCGTCATCTGCTCTAGTCATCTGTCAGCAAGCATTTAGACAGCCATCTCAGCTTACCTTGATGCACGGCTTGCTCTACATCATCTGCCAGTAGAATATTTATCAGGCACTCGTGCCACTCTATGCTCTGGCATTCCCTGTTTCTCTACCAGGGCTCCTAAGCAAGAGTTGTAAAATAAGCCTACCTCTGCACTTCAGACTCCATCACCAGGTACGTTACAGTCACAGAAGAACAGGATAATTAAATAATTAAATAATCGTAGTTATTGATTTGTGAAATCCCTGACAAGGACACCACCAAGGACACCACAAGCAGCACCTGACAAGGACACCACACCCCCACCGAACAGCCAACACAAGGGGCCTTACTCCACCAGGAACCACTCTAACTGTGGAACAGGCCGTGTGTGCCAGGTGCCGCCAGAGGTGGAAAGAACCCCATTGCAGGTTCAATTGCCTCAGGTGCAAGAAGCAATGGACAACCAACCCACATGATTCCCTGTGAAAAGTGCAGTTGTGTTTCACAGTAACATTTATACATAACATGTAACAATTATGCAGAACACACAGGTGAACAAACAAGGAATATGAGTATTTGTAACCCTAATCCTGGCAGATGGAAAAAAACACAGAAAAACTAAAAAATGGAAATTATTGGACAGGTCTATTACATAGAGATTCATATTCTGTCAAATCAAACATAAATACAGCATTGGCATATGTGGGGCAAGGAAAAAGATGTAGGAGAGCAAAAATGCTTGTTCTGAAAATATGGCCATTATTTTTCCATTCCCCCAGAAGAGAAGCCTTCTAAGAATGGTTTAAAGTTGATAGCTTCATTTAGTCTAGGAAGGATGGGGGGGGGGGGAATGTGTCGTGCAGTGTAAAAATCCATTTAAGTTCTAGGGACTTGTTCCAGTCTCCCCCCCTTTGGATTAGGGTGTATGCGATCCAAAGTCAAGAGTTTTATTTTTGGAAATTTACCACCATGCACCAAGATGGCATGTCATTCCAAAGAGAGTACAGGATCACATTTTTCCAGACTCCTAATGTGTCTATATGCTCATCTCCAGAATTCTATGTTGGTCTTGCCCACATAGAAGCAGTCACATTCACAGAGAAGTAAATAAACAACCCCAAAAGTTCTACTGTTTTCAAAATGTCTTGGTTTAAATGGATTTCCATTTGGTAGCCTAGGTTGAAATCCAGTATGCATGTATTTGCAATAATTACAGGCACCACACATAAAGGTGCCTTTTGTTTTACATGGATCTTTCTGATAATCACCCTCCTGAGGATTTACCCCCCTTCCTGGCCAGGCCATTGTTTGCATTATGGTGCTGTATTACTTTAACTGACAATTGCATGTTCATGCAATGCTGCACCCAAATGAAATGTACGTCCTTTTGTTCCCACAAATAAGAGCTATCTTTCGGTGGTATTTGATCGGCTTTGCATTTTTTAATTTTTTGCGCTATAAAAAAAGAGAATTTTGAGAAAAAAACAATATTTTTTACTTTTTTTCTATTAAACATGTCCAGTAAAAAAAATGTAAAAATCTAATTTCGTCATATAAAATGTATTCCGCTACATGCCTTTGCTAAAAAAATCCCAATACGTGTGAAATTAATTGATTAACGTGAAAGTTATAGCGTTTACAAATGGAAGTATAGATACTGGAATTTTTTTTTTTTTGTTAATTTTTACTAGTAATGGCAGCGATCAGCGACTTATACTGGGACTGCAGCGGGTATTCTGACACTGGGGGAAACAGACTTGGTGTCCCCCCCCCCTTTCCTGATCTGCCAGGCTGCATGCTCGGATAAGGGTCTGGTATGGATTTTGGGGGGTCCCCCACGACATTTTTTAAAAAATTTTGGTGTGGGGTTCCCCTCAAAATCCAAACCAGACCCGAAAGGCCTTGGTATGGATGGAGGGGGGACCCCACGCTGTTTTTTTTTTATTTTTTAATTGCTGACAATTCTTTCTTTTACATTCAGCTGTCAGTGGGGAACCCCGCTGACAGCTGAAACATTAACACATGGTTTTCACTACTAAAATACCACATGATTTGATAAAATAACTCATGTGGTATTTTAGTAGTATTTTTTAGTGAATTCAAACTTTTTAAAAAAATGCTGTGTGGTATCCTACCGCATACTTGGATGCGGTAAGATACCGCTTAGTGAATTGTGCCCTGTGTCAGATGTCTTGCAAATTGCGCCTGAAATCGGCGGTTCACTGGATTTTGAAATAGTTCAACTTCACTGTAAGTCGCACGATTTCAAAGTCAGGCTTGATGTGACCGGGGGCTTAAACATATTTTTCAGGAAAGTAAATTTATTCTGTGTACAGTTTTAGGAAGGTGTAGAGACGGCCACCACCCTGCAGAGATGCAGAAGAAACCATTGTTCATCTGAGGCCTCCATAGCTTTCATCAGGAGAGCAGCTGTCTGATTGGACGCTGCTACCCTGTATGACCTTGGTGGTCATCTTTAGTGTGGGCAGTGCTAATAAACTGCACTGTCTCACTGCAGTTGGCGCGCATCTGCAAAGTGTCTAGGTCAGGGACAGGAATCTACTGGTTAGGGACAGCATGTCTAGATTGTACGCCCCTTGAGGGTTAGGGACTGATGTGAATGTACAATATATGTATGTAAAGCGCTGCGTAAATTGACAGTGCTATATAAGTACCTGAAATAAATAAATAGAATAGGGAAAAGTTCCCGTGGAGGAGGGATAGAGTAGGGACTGCACACCTGTGTCACCAGCCAGGAGCTCAGGTGCCTTGTTACCAGACTACCTTCCAGACATCTCCTTCTTCAGATGTTGTTGGGCATTGTAAGCTGTTTATTGTATCTTCTGTAATACTGAGACTGTGTTTACAAGACCTTCTATATAGTACTGCCCTGCCGGGCTCGGCCTTATTACACAGATCTTGCTACCACCTTGCTGGAACTTTGGTGTTAATATGCTTTGCTGCATTCATTGGTCTCCCTGCCTACACACTCCAATGAAATATCTTGTATACAAAAATGCATTTATTGTATTTGATCATTCTGTAACATTAATTTGTCTCCACAAAAAAAATCTATGTTTTATATCAAGATTGAATTGTTGCAAGTGTTGCATCTTAAGCCATATTTGTTCACTATAACACAAGAGAGCCTGTTAGACCAAACATTGTCTATTTATCTATAATTATAACAGTCATTTATTTGTACGTACTACTGCCCCTGGGCATTGATCTCACTAATGAATTGTAGAGTGTACAGTCAGGTTCAGGGTCGGACTGACCATTTGAGCACTCGGCACTGCCTGAGGGCCCGGGGTCATTAGGGGGGCCCATAAAATGCCCCTGGTACCTTTTTTATAGGCTTTTTTGGGTGTGTTTTGAGTGTGGGCAAGGACATAGGGGCCCCATGATCCCCAATTGCCCGGGGGCCCCATGAGTTGTCAGTCCGCCCCTGGTCAGGTTAAAACTGATAAGAATTCAATACTTCCAGGTGTACCAGATTCTTCTCTTTCCAACTGTCCCTGCTGCTCTTCCCCCAGCCACTAAATTCGAAAATAAATAGAAACTTGAGGTTGTGTGCAGGAGAATCACTCCCAAATACAGCTTTGGCAAATGTAGACAAACTACACTAAGGTCTTCATGCACACAAGCCTCCCTAACCGCCGGCCACGGGAAAATGCAAATTGCGGCAAAACCGCTGTAACCACAGTACCACAATTGTCCAGTGGTTTTGCCACCTTTTGTGTGATTCTTCTGTGTTCAGGAGAGGGAGGTTTAACCTCACCTATACACAGCGGCTCCTAAACTCTGCTAAAAGCCTATGTGTACATGGACACATAGACTTTTATGGAGTTGAGTTTAGGAGCTTTGGAAAAAAAATGCCAAAAGCTTTAATTTTCCTCTTAGTCTGCCTGTGATGGTGAGGCAACAATGATGCACTACTCCTGAATTTGGGGGGGTGGTGTTGCCGCAGTCATGTAGTCTGTGCCACCTTGCACTAAAGCGAGATGAAAAAATGTTAAAGGGGTGTAGCTATCCATATGGTCACTGCTGATATACAGTTCTGCATCTGACCACACCTAGTCCTGCCCACAGCGTTCTATATCGAAAGTACTACCTCTGATTGGGAGCAGTCTCTCTGAACACAGACTCAACTATCATTTTATCTTCCCTGAGGCTGTGTGCAGAACAGCTTTCCATCACAGTCTCAGCAAATGTAAACAAATAGAGAGCCATGACTGTGATCAGGCACACAGCCCCCCCCCCCCCCCCACCAAATACTGCATCTCTCATAAGAGAGATCTGGAGCTCTCAAAGCAAAGGTCCAGTTGTGATTTTCCAGCAGCTTCCACCCACAGCTTCAGAGCTGTTCATTTACATTTACTGAGGCCGTGTTCAGGAGCAATTCTTCTGCACACAGCCTCAGCTGTCATTTGTGTCTGAGGTAATAACTGGGGGAAAAGTTGTAGAGGGCAGCTAGAAAGAAAAGAATTTGCTTTAAATTCTACTATTTTTTCCAGCCTATAATTCTGCTATAGGTAAGTAAAATCATTCTCCAGTTGGGGCAATTTCATGGACAAGTAAAGCACTCCTTTAACCACTTGACCTCCAGAGGATTTACCCCCCTTAATGACCAGGCCTCTTTTTGCTACTCGGCGCTGCACTAATTCAACTGATAATTGCGCTGTCATGCAATGGTGCACCCAAACGAAATTTACGCCCTTTATTCACACAAATAGAGCTTTCTTTTGGTGGTATTTGATCACCTGTGCGCTTTTTTATTTTTTACGCTATAAACAAAAAAAGACCAAACATTTTGAAGAAAAACAATATTTTTTACTTTCAGCTATAAAAAATATATAGTAAACTCAAAGTTGGTTATAAATTTAGGCCAAAATGTATTCTGCTACATGTTTTTGGTGAAAAAAATCCCAATAAGTGTATATTGATTGCTTTGTGTGAAAGTTATAGCGTCTACAAACTATGGTATAGATACTGCAATTTACGCCATTTTTTTGCTATACAGCGCTGCGCTAGTTTAACGGACAATTGCGCGGTCATGCAATATGGTACATAAATGAAATTTACATCCTTTTTTTTCCCCACAAATTGAGCTTTCTTTCGGTGGTATTTGATCGCCTGTGCGTTTTTTTATTTTTTTGCGCTATAAAAAAAAGGCTGACAATTTTTGAGGAAAAAAAAACAATATTTTGGACTTTTTGCTTTAAAACATGTCCAGTAAAAAAAATGTAAAAATCAAATTTAGTCATAAATTTCTGCAAAATGCATTCTGCGACATGTCTTTGCTACAAAAAACCCCAATACGTGTAAATTAATTGGTTTATGTGAAAATTATAGCGTTTACAAATGGCGGGAAAGATACTGGGATTTTTAATTTTTTTTTATACTAATAATGGCGGCGATCAGTGACTTATGGCGGCGATCAGTGACTTATGGTGGCGATCAGCGACTTATGGCGGGACTGCGGCGGACATTCTGACACTGGGGGGGAACTGACTTGGGGTCACTGACATCCCCAGTGACACCAATACAATGATCAGTGCAAAAAAAAAAAAACCACTGACACTGTACTAATGGCACTGGGGAGGAAGAACTCTTCTCTCCCGATCAGCCTGTCAGGAGCTGTCAGGGAACTGACAGAAAGCACACCTACTGCAGCTGTGCTCTCTGTCACTGATTGCCGCTAATTGCCGGGACATAGCCGGTAACGACCGGCTGTGACCCGGCGACTGACATCTGCGGCCGTGATCGGTGGGACAGGTAGGGCAGCGGCGCTTCTTGCGCGCGCCCCCTACCGGTTTTAAAAAACACGTTTTAAAACGTGCTTTTGCCCAGCCCTGCCGCCGTATTTCTACAGTGGCTGGGCGGCATGTGGTTAATTTCTATTAAAAACAAGTGTGTACAGTGACAGTGTCTTTTTTAAATATGGAATGACTGTAGATGCTACTTGGATTTTGATGGTCTATACATTGGGATTTAACTCTCTTCTGTCTGTAGGTCTCTGGTCAGATTCTAGCTTCTGGAACCAAAGCTAAGCCTTCAGTTGTGGCTTTTCCAAAAATGGATAGTCCAGCTCGAAATCCGGTGTTCAACTTCCATCACACACTAAATACAAAGGATGACCAGCTACATGTTGCTTCCTGTATTTTGTTTCAAGTGTCTACTGTGGACTCTGGAAATCTTGCTATAATTGGTAACTAATTATATATATATACCGTGTTTCCCAAAAATAAGACGCTGTCTTATATTTTTTTTGGCTCAAAAAAACACACTAGGTCTTATTTTCGGGGTAGGCCTTATTTTTTAAATGTCCAGGTGTGGACAGGGGGTGCAGAGGTGAGCTGCAGGCAGTTGTGGATGAGGGTTACTGTGGAGAGGGCCGGTTGATGACAGTTGTGAGCTGCAGTCAGGTGTTACAGGGGAGACTTGACAGGTGAGTTTCAGACAGGGTGCAGATATGAGCCACAGACAGGGTGAAGGGGTGAGTTGCAGACGGGGAATGCAGAGCTGAGCTGTGGCCAGGGGGCGCAGAGATGAGCTGTGGCCAGGGGGTGCAAAGGTGGGTTGCAACTCAGCTCACCTCTGCACCCCCCCAGCCGCAGCTCACCTATGCACCCTGTCTGCAACTCACCTGACTCAATTTACCTCTGCAACACCTGACTGCAGCTCACCTTTGCACATCCCTCCCCCCCTCCACTGTCCTCATATGGTTAGCTAGCTTTGCAAAACACAGCTGTCAGCAGCCGGCCCCTCTCTATAATAACTCCTGTTTCGGGTCCTATTTTCCCACACAGTGCACTAAGCGCACTTACTCACCACTCCGCCTCTTCCCCACTGGCCGGTGATCACCCCTGGGGCAATGGCTTCCATGCGTTAGGCTGCAGGAGGAGATGCCCCACCCCTAAACACACTGCATACTGCACCCGCAGATATCTGTTCCTTCCCTGTCCCACAGTGAGTACAGAAGTAGGGAGGTTCTGTGGGAGCGGATGTTGCTGTCACTTCAGCCGTGCTTCTGTGTTTATAAGAGACAGTAGATATTGGTGTGTGCAAGGCCAGTGGCGGAGGTGGCGGAATGGCGTTCCGCCATGTTCTGGCTGAAAAAAAGCCCTGATCACAACTAGGTCTTATTTTCGGGGTAGGTCTTACACTTTAGCAATTCCCAAAAATAGCACTAGGTCTTATTTTCGGGGTAGGTCTTATTTTATGGGAAACGGTATATATATATATATATATATATATATATATATATATATATATATATGTAGCACTGCCCCTTGGGACAAGCTGGAATATATTATGGGTCCTGCGCTCAATAGATCCAACCCTAAGCAAACCCAATCCCTCTGGCACAACTGGTAATGAATAGCAAATACCCCGCCAAGAAATATGCTGACACAGGGTTAAATGAAACAAGAACAATTTTATGGAGAATGAAATGCAGTGTAGAGGGGTGGGGTTCCCCTTTCAACTTCAAAACTTTTCTTCTTTTATGCAATGCAGTAAATTTGGTCTGCCACTAGAGGGCTTCACAGCCAAGAGTCTCCGGATGGCAGAGTTGCACTTTAAGCAGAATACAACTGATATCAAACAAATAAACTTACTTATACTCTATCAATGAAATGTATTACCCACACCGGTGTATGATTCTGCTTCTGAGGGGCGTTAGCCAAAAATCACCTCAGAGTCAGAACAGGATGCAATAAAGAGGTACCTCTAATAAGGCTACTAAGCCAGATTCCCCCACTCTAGTCCTTGTAACAGTGGAGCTCTAGTTGGTGCACGTTTAGTCCTTACAATGAAGTAAATAGCAGCTGAAGGCTTCTTTGGAGTTCCAATTTTACTAGGTTTCTGGGCTGAGAGGGTCCAACATCAGTGTCTAAAGGCAACACAAAGCACCCCAAGACCAGGGGCAGTCGCAGGATGCAATCTCCCAGTATGTGTCAGTCCCCGGGGCAGACAGTCTCAATTACACTGGTGGTGAGGGGCAAAGCAGGCAGGAGGATCTGTGGCTTGCACAGGGCCCTGGATGGGTGAGATCCCAGCAGTGGGGTGCGGATGTCCCAGTCTATATGCAAGGTGTGAATGGTGTGTCTTACTCTCTCCAGGGGGACAGCTCACCAGACTCTGAACACACAGCAGGGTCCCTCTATCCGTGCTGGGTGCTGTAGTGCCTCCTCCTCTGCTTGGACGGGCTCCACATGTCCCTGTCTTTTCTCCAGCCTCGTGTCTCTGTTCTCCTCTTCACTTCCTGCTTCCTCCCCCTCCCAGCGTTCTTTGCTGTGTAGTGGATGAGTCATGAACTTGGCAGAATGCCCAGGTTTTACAAATAGGGGAGAGAGAGGAAAGCTGACTGCTGAACATGTGATTCCTTCTGAATCCTCTTGTACAAGGGGCCTGCTACATATATATATATATTTCTGTCCTCTATTAAAAACAATGTGCTTCACCATTTATTATAAGTGCATTGAGAGCTGATTCACACATGTGGAACGGATTGAAACTCAGGTTTCACAGCTAATTGACATAGTAGTTGTTCAGCAGTTCATGTCAGGTTTACATCAGGTTCAGGACAGGATTAGCTCAGGATTTTATCCTGTTCACACATATGCGATTTAGAAAACAGTTCCCATAGACGTCAATAGCCTTTAATCCACACCTGAACATGCAGGCACTGCTCAGAAAACGTACATGACTCTTTTTTTAAACCTCACTGAACCCGCACCACCAGTGCACCGGACAATATGTGAACAGGCACCATAGGAAGCAATATTTTTTCACGTCATGTGGATTGGATGTAGTTCAAACCGCATCCAAATTGCATATATGTGAACCCCCTGCCAATTTTAATTTTCCTCTTAGTCTGCCTGTGATGGTGAGGCAACAATGATGCACTACTCTTGAATTTGGGGGGCGGTGTTGCCGCTGTCATGTAGTCTGTGCTACCTTGCACTAAAGCGAGATGAAAAAATGTTAAAGGGGGTGTAGCTTTCCGTATGGTCACTGCTGATTTACAGTGCTGCACCTGGCCACAGCTAGTCCTGCCCACAGCGTTCTATATCGAAAGTACTACCTCTGTTGCTGAAATAACATAGAAAACAGATATGACACTTGACTGTCATATAGGAGAATTTAGTTATACTTTAATTAGAAATATTTTTTTTTTACAAATAGGGTCAGCCATCCAGTAAAGTTAAAATAAAGTTTACTGTAGCAAGAAATTTTAAGGGGAAGAATGCAGAAACAACACTTGGCAAGGTTTGTCAGCTTTGTGCTACTACACGGTAATGATAGCTGTTATGGTTACTATACTGTTATATTGCATCAGCAAGGAAAAATCTAGTAGTATTGTAGCACCCTGCTAGTTTAGCTAGGGGGAGCTAGAACGTAATGGCCAAAGAGGAGCTGATTAGCAGCTCAGGTGAGATAGCCAGAGAGATCAAATTCTGATAAGGACTGAAAGACTTTGCAGACCAGCCCCTTTGAATTTCCCCCTGCTCTGAGGCATTCGGAGGAGGGCCTTGGAGGCAGTGGGTAGATCTAAGGAGTGGGTGGCTTCACTTTTAAGGGACCTCAACCAATCCCCAACAGGAGGCTTGGCAGGGGGCTGGACTCCCTTAAAAGTGTTGGACCCTGCTCAGTAGCAGGAGTGTGGTGGTGGGAGAAGAGTGAGAAGCAGGAAGATGTGAGGTTGGAGGAGGAAGGCTGCCAGGAGGCCTGGTGGGATGGGACCTGCCAGTGAGCCTGGAGCTGGAAAGGAGGAAAACTCAGGACTCACTTGCAACCTAAGAGACGACCACCTGTATGGCAGGAAAGGAGCCACCAAGCCATTTGGCAAGCGGTACAGGAGAGGATCTGAGTGAGTACACCTGCCCCCCGTTGGCAGATAGGGGAAGGAGCACTCTGGTGGGAAACCAGATTATCCCTCTGCTAGTGACTGTTAGCCCTTAAAAGGAACAGGAGACAGATCCCCCTGCTAAGGAAGAAAGTCTCCAGATTGCTGGGTGAAAAGGAGTTCATCTAGGCCTAGGGTCTAAGGTAATACGACTGGAGCCGCTGGCTAGAACTCCAACAGAGAATGTGTCAGAGAAAAGAAGCTGTAAATAGTTCAGGAAGTTGTCCTCGGATTTCAGTTCCCTTGGGCATCCTGTACACCCCTTACCCCATCCAAGTTTAATCCCCTCAATAAAATAACAATACCAAAGCTCAATGCCTAATTTCAGTCCATTGATGAAAGCTTGTGTGGAAAATGCTAATTGACTGGCTGTGCAGGACTATAGGGGGACCTAAATTCATCAGCAATCCCTAAGGGGGTAGTGCTACAGTTTAATGTCAACTTGCCAGTTTAAAAAAAGGAGCACCACAGTCTCCCTTTAAAGCTGAACTCTAGGCAGATATTTAATAAAAAAAATGAATGTGGGTATTTATTTAAAAAATCTATATATTTACCATTAAATGCAAGTATTGGAAGTACCAGAATTTGTTATAATCTCAGCCATGTTATAATTCTCTGTACAGAATCACTCTAAATCAGAAAAGGGTAAATCAGGCTTTGTTGTAAGCACATGCACTGACAGAAGGAGAAGAATCAAGCTGTGCTAGGTGGCAGGGGTCCCTGAAATACAAGGCTGGCTGCACAGAGTTACACACCCTTTGACAGATAAAACAATTTCTATTAGAAAGTTTATAAACGTTATACATTTTTCAAACTTTCAGTATATGAAGTTATTGACTATATTTTTTTTATACTTAGGGAACGGCATGCTCCGTATTTTTAATAATGATGGGAAGCTTAATGTTGGAGGATTTCAGCTGAGACTGAGAACAGGTTTACCTTCCAAAACACTGGACTCACTGGCACCAGAAGACTTACAAAAATATCCTGCTTTTCCCTGCTGTTCTCTTTTGGTTCGACTCCTACCACACACCGAGGCAAGTTCACATTCATTAAAAAATTCATTATACATCTATACATATACTACTGTAAATACAGCACGTAAAATAAGTATTGAACACGTCACCATTTTTCTCTGTAAATATATTTTTAAAGGTGCTAATGACATGGAATTCTCACCACATATCGGTAACAACCCATGCAATCCATACATACAAAGAAACCAAAACAAATAAGTTCAGAAATTAACCACTTGCCCTCCAGAGGATTTACCCTCCATCCTGACCAGACCATTTTTTGCGTTACTGTGCTGCGTTACTTTAACTGACAATTGCGCGGTCATGCAACACTGCACCCAGATGAAATTTACGTCCTTTTTTTCGAATTGAGCTTTCTTTCGGTGGTATTTGATCACCTGTGCATTTTTAATTTTTTGCTCTATAAGCAAAAAAAGACTGACAAAAAAAACAATATTTTGGACATTTTTTCCATTAAACATGTCCAGTAAAAAAAAATAAAAAAATCAAATTTTGTCATAAATTTAGGCCAAAATGTATTCTGCTACGTCTTTGCTAAAAAAAATCCCAATACATGTAAATAATTGGTTTACGTGAAAGTTATAGTGTTTTCAAATGGCGGCATAGATACTGGGATTTTTTTTTCCTACTAGTAATGGCGGCTATCAGTGACTTTTAGCGGGACTGTAGGACTGCGGCGGGGCATTCTGACACTGGGGGGAACTAACTTGGTGTCACTGACATCCCCAGTGACACAAATACAGTGATCAGTGCTAAAAAACAGCACTGACACTGTACTAATGACACTGGGCAGGAACGGGTTAATGTGAGGGGTGATCAAAGGGTTAACTCTGTGTTTTACTAGGGGGCAGGGGGGTGTGTGCTTCACTGTAAGCACACTGCTTTGGATGGCTGTGCTGTGCGCAGCCATCCCGAGCGGTGTGCCTGAGCTGACAGGGAAGAAGACTGTTTGTAAACAAATGTCTTCCTCCCCATCTGTGACTGTTAGCAATCACCGGGCGCCAGCAGATAATTACAGGCCAGGACCTGATGATTGACATCCGCGCCCCCCTAGCCGGAAATGCGAAATCACGTGTATATGTATATATATGTGTATATGTATGATATATATATATATATATATATATATAAATATAATGTAATGTAATTTTGCACACCATGCTGCTGTTGTAGCAGTATATCTGATATACGGCAGCGGGTAAGCGGTTAAGTTTTGTTTAATAAAATGGAATGACAATGGGAAAAGTATTGCACACACTAACTGAAATTTATTTAATATTTTGTACAAAATCCTTTGTTGGTAATGACAGCTTCAAGACGCCTCCAGTATGGAGAAACTACTCGCATGCATTGCTCGGGTGTGATTTTGGCCCATACTTCCACACAAACAGTCTTCAAATCTTGAAGGTTCTGTGGGCCTCTTCTATGAACTCTAATCTTTAGTTCTTTCCATAGATTTTCTATTGGATTCAAGTCAGGTGATTGGCTGGGCCATTCTAGCAGCTTTATTTTCTTTCTTGAAACCAATTGAGAGTTTCCTTGACTTTTTGTTTGGGATCAATGTCTTGCTGAAATGTCCACCTTCATTTCATCTTCATCATCTGGTAGGTGGCAGCAGAATTTTTATCAAGAATGTCTTTTACATTTTTCCATTCATCCTTCCTTCAACAACATGAAGTTTACTAGTACCGTATGCTGAAAAACATCCCTACACCATGGTGTTCCCACCTAAAAACTTCACTGTTGGTATGGTGTTTTTGGGGTGATGTGGAGTGCCATTTGACCTCCAAACATGGTGCGTATTATGGCATACAAAGAGTTACATTTTGGTCTCATCTGACCAGACTATATTCTCCCAGTATTTCACAGGCTTGTCAAAATGTTGTGCAGCAAACTTTAAACAAGCTTCAACATGCTTTTTATTCAGCAATGCAGTCTTACCTGGTAAGTGTGCATACAGTGCCATGGCAGTTCAGTGCATTACTTATTGTTTTCTTTGAAACAATTGTACCTGCTAATTCCAGGTCTTTCTGAAGCTCTCCACAAGTGGTCCTTGGCTCTTTGACAACTCTTCTGATAATTCTTTTCACTCCTCTGTCAGAAATCTTGCGAGGAGTACCTGGTCATGGCCGATTTATGGCAAAATGATGTTTTTTCCACCTCCGGATTATGGCCACAACAGTGCTCACTTGAACATTCAGAAGTTTAGAAATCCTTCTGTAACCAACGTCATCGGTATGTTTTGCAACAATAGGTCTTGAGAGAGCTCTTTGCTTTTTACCCATCATGAGATGTGAAACCTTTGTAATGAGACACCTTTTTATAGGCCCTAATTTAGGACTGAACCAGCTGATACTAATTTGCACTGACAAGGGGCAGGATTGCTTTCTAATTACTGATACATTCCAGCTGGTGTCTTGGCTTTCCATGCCTTTTGCCTCTGCCTTTCTTCATGTGTTCAATAGATTTCCCTGTGTCATTCCATTTTAATTAGCAGACTTCGGATGTGCGCGAATCAAAATTTCTTCCAAAAATGGCGGCGACATGTGTGGCGACGGAGCGGGGATCTCTGGGAAGGCGCGCAGACAAGGCTGCGCTGACCCATAATGCATTCAGTTCATGACATGTGATCGCATTAGCCAATCAGCAGCCAGCCAGCCAGCCAGCAACTGTGTAATGGTGGAGCTATAAATTGCGGCCATCTTACAATTCTCCATTTGCCTTTCCGGTCATTCAAGAGAGACAGACCTCTCTGTATTAGGGACAGAGTTAGGCCACAGATACTTTAGGGACACAGAATCGTTACTTAGGGGACACAGAATTGTTACTCAGGGACACAGAATTGTTTACTCAGGGACACAGAACTGTTATCAGGGGACACAGAATTGTTACTCAGGGTCAGACACAGAATTGTTACTGAGGGACACAGAATTGTTACTGAGGGACACAGAATTGTTACTCAGGGACACAGAAACTGTTACTCAGGGACACAGAAACTGTTACTCAGGGACACAGAATTGTTACTCAGGGACAGACACAGAATTGTTACTGAGGGACACAGAATTGTTACTGAGGGACACAGAATTGTTACTGAGGGACACAGAATTGTTACTGAGGGACCACATTGTTAGAATTTGTTACTCAGGGACAGACACAGAATTGTTACTCAGGGACACAGAATTGTTACTCAGGGACACAGAACTGTTACTCAGGGACATCAGAATTGTTACTCAGGGACAGACACAGAATTGTTACTGAGGGACACAGAATTGTTACTGAGGGACACAGAATTGTTACTCAGGGACAGACACAGAATTGTTATGAGGACACAGAATTGTTACTCCAGGGACACAGAATTGTTACTGAGGACACAGAATTGTTACTCAGGGACACAGAATTGTTACTCAGGGACTGGGACAGAATTCGTTACTCAGGGACACAGAATCGTTGAATTAACAGAGTATGTCAGACAACACGCAGAGGAGTGGCAGAGGAGGCAATGTTTCAGGAGGGCTGAGCAGACGTGGCAGCAGAGGAAGGTGGTCGAGGCAGCACTAGTGCAGCCAGAGGCCAGTGCTCCCGGTGTCAATCCAGCGGTCGTGTCTCCACCGACAACCCTGCCGTCATCGATTGGTTGGGCTCGGTCGTCTTCTCTTCCCAGGTCACCTCTGACACCTACAGCCAGACGGTCGGTTGGGTACGTCAGACCACAAACCGTTAGTTGGCATGGCCCGGGAGCAAGCCCATGAAATCACGTGTCCTCTACCTGCCCCTGTCCTTTGGTGTTTCCTCACCAAGCGACGTTATCGCATGCTGTGGGCTCAGCCCCACTGTACAGTGAGGAAGAGCTAACAGAGGGCGGTCAGGAACGGGGGGAGACATTCCGCCTCTTCAGCAGCCAGGCGAGAAGAAGTACTGGCGAGGAGAGTGGCTCGGTAGCCGGTCTAGAGACAGGTCTGTCTTCCTGACCCACACGCAAGCGAGGGGGCTAGTAGTGAGGCGGAGACCCTAATTGATGATGATGAGGGCCTGATCGCACTTGGCAGCCTCGTACGTCATCAGGCTATTGCTTCCGCATCATCAGGAGAAGAGGGTGCCAGCTTGGCAGCGAGCATAAACAGTCGGTGGGTTGCCCAGGAGGCAGCAGGGTCGCAGCGTAGTGTCAGTGGAGGGCAAACGGCCACGGGTGAGAGCACCAGCTCCACTGCAGCCTACCACCACGGCCAGTAGTGGTGCCGGTGTGCACGGAGGAAGTAGCAGTCAGCCATGTGAGGAGTAGCGGGGGCAAAGTGTTTCCTACTAGTCGGCGAATTGTGGCAATTTTTCGTAAGCCGCCCGAGGAAGTAAACGTAGACGTATAGGCGACTATGTGGCCAGAAAGTCAAGCGTGGCCAGGGGGCCCATGTTGGGACTACAGCGTTGTGTCAGCATATGCAGGCGTCGCCATTCGGTGGCTGGGAAAACCGTGATATAGATACGGCGGTTCTGCCTGCCCCAGCCCCGCTCCATCACCCGCTCCGTTACTTGCTCTGTCACCCGACGTCAATCGCCCTCTATCACAGTCAAGGCTCCAACAAACTCTGCTGAGGGGGAGTTGTCGCTCGTTGGCATCTTCCGCGTTCAGATGCTCCTTTCTCCTGCTACTCCTTTCACGGATTCCGTCAGCAGTCTTTCTTGGAATCCGTTTCAAGAGACAAACAGTTTGCGAGCACGCACCCGACGGTGCAGAAGCTGAACGTCCTCCTGTCCAAGTTGCTGGTGCTGCAGTCCCTATCCCTTTCCAAGTGGTGGACTCAGCACCTTTCCGAGAAATGATGGCTTGTGCGAGAGCCGCGAGGTGGAGAGTGCCAAGCCGGCATTTCTTCGCCCAAAAAGGCAGTGCCAGCCCTGCATTCACATGTAGAAGAGATGGTGGGCCAGTCTTTGAGCATGTCGGTCTCTGCCAAAGTGCACGGCAGCGCCGACGTGTGGAGCTGTAACTACGGTCAGGGACAGTACATGTCATTTACGGCCCACTGGGTGAACGTGGTGCCGGCACAGCCGCACCAGCAACTTGGACAGGTCACGCCGCTTTTGCCTCCACGTTTGCACGTCCTTGGTCCAGCAAAGATGTCCGCCTCTACCACCTCTTCTTCCGCCGTGTCCTCAGCCGCCACCCCCGTGCCAAGTCCCATTACCCGACCGGCATATCACATGTGCAGGGCGCAACGGTGTCACGCTGTGCTGCACCTGGTATGCCTTGGCGAACGTAGTCACACAGGGGAGGAACTTCTGAGTGTAATGAACAGAGAAATCGACAGATGGCTGTCTCCGCGCAAACTGAAAATCGGAACCATGTTGACCGACAACGGAAAGAACATGGTGTCTGCTCTGCGTCAAGGAAGGTTGTGCCATGCGCCATGCATGGCTCACGTGTTCAATCTGGTTGTCAAGCGGTTCCTAAAATCCACCATCCCACTGCAAGACATCCTTAAAATGTCACGTAAACTTTGCATGCATTTCAGCCATTCCTACACCGCAAAGCACACCCTCCTTGAGCTGCAGCGGCAGAACGGAATTCCACAGCATCGCCTGATCTGCGACGTTGCAACAAGGTGGAATTCAACCCTACATATGTTAGACCGCCTTTACGAACAGCGAAAGGCCATCACCGATTTCCTGATGTTACAAGCGGATAAAGGTACTCCCCTGTGTAACTTAGATGTCAGCCATTGGCAGCTCATGCGTGACACCTGCCGCTTGCTCAGGCCCTTTGAGGAGGCCACGCTATTCGTGAGTCGGCAGGACTATGGGATGAACGACGTCATTCCTCTGTTGCACGTCCTGGAACAAATGCTATTAACAATGGCTGGTCAGGGTGCGGTAGACGTGGTGCACAGATCTCAACGCCACATGACCCCTGTGGGGGCAGGACAGGAAGAAGAGGAGGAGGTAGAGGAGGACATTGGTGCTCAGGAATTATTGAGTGAAATGGG